TTTGATTTCGTCGATTTGTCTTCCGTTCGAGCTATCGATTCGATTTCGGCGAAATCCAGGTCCGTACTATGAAGTTAATAGCATTTAGAATAGATTTAATGGTTTGGATCGTTATATGTGTTTATGCTATAATTTGGCTAAATTGGTTAATTGAATTAAATTGATTATGTGAATTGAATTGTTGAGGTTTGTGAATTGATTGAACAGGTTTGACTTTGACTTGGGTTAGGTCACGTTTGAATTAAGCTTTGACTGGATATTCTGTCGACGTAGGTTTGACCGATGGGTAAATCCAAAACTTTAATGAATTAGTTAAGTTAATTAATTAATTCTAATCGGTGATTAAGGTCAATTGGTTTTTTGTGTTGATCATAGAAACTGGCCATTGCTCGGGCGGCTGCAGGGCCTGGTCAGTGAGGTTAAAACGTGCGCACGAGGGTCTGTGATCTTGGGTTTGAGGCTATCGCCCGAGGGATCCTACCTCCACCGAATTGAGGCTATCTTCGGTATTACGGATTGAGGCTATCTCCGTCATAGGCATTAAATGTTAAGTGGTTTGACATTGGTGAAAGTCTAAATTGGTTTGACCGGTGGTCAAAGAGCTAATGAGAAACCCGTAACACCTAAATCGTTTTGAAAAGAAAGTAAATAAGTTGACTGTTGGTCAACCGTCTAAAGAATCGAATGTAAAGTTGAATTGATTTTTATTAAAAGGATAAACATATGCACGATCTCAATTGTTGAATTATTATGTTTATTCTTGTGCTACAATGGAGTACCACTCAGCGTCAATGCTGAGTGGATAGCGTTGTTTTTCTTTTTGCTGTCCGTAGGTGATCAGACAGATGAACCTAGAGCCGATCCCAGAGGGCATTGAGGAGGAGATGTACGATGGCGTGGCTGTCTCTTTAATCTTTTGATTATGCTTTATTTAATTAACTTTAATGCTTATTACGTTTTCGGGCAAGATCCCAAGTTGTTTGACTTTAAAAAGGCTTCCGCATTATTTTAAATTACTCCGATGGATTTTTTTATGTATTGATAGAACGTTTGTTTGAAATTGTTTTGAAAATGTTGCAAATTCGGATACCAATTCAGTGGCACACCGGTCCGCTGTCTCACGGGTTTGGGTCATGCGGGTTGGGGTGTTACATTTTGGTATCGGAGCATTTGGTTTTAAAATCGGTCTTTGGACCCTTTCAAAATAAAAGACAATGAATAATTCAGCCGCATCTGCATCTCACGTAACTCCTCTGCCCCGGGAAGGTAATAAGTATTTATAGCTTTATTTGTTATATGTTAAGATCTGACCTGGGAATTTCCTTATTATTTTAGAATGAGACAAGAATCGACCCACGGTCAGTACGTTGCGGAGCCGGAGCACGTGAGCGTGCACACGGTGAACACTGAGGGTTCGAGTTTCACGCCTCCAGGTGACGGAGGGCAACAGCAGAATCAACCTGAGCCGGCGGGACAGCCACCAGCTTTACCACCGCCAGTCGTACCACCTCCAGTGATGCCACCGTTGGCGATACCGCCGGTGGCCTACGAGCAGATGTTCCCGGCCATGATGGCCCATTATATGCAGCACATGGCGCAGCTTATGCCCATGTTCCAGCCACCGCCACCACCACAGCCGCAGCCGCGCATCGTTACCTTCAAGACGTTGAAGGATAACGGAGCGGAAGAGTTTCGAGGAGACAAGATGGGGGAGCCCTAGATTGCATTGGATTGGCTTGAGCAGATGGACCGGGTACTCAAGAATTTGAGAGTCCCAGATGCTGATCGCTCGGAGTTAGCGTCACAGATGTTCTGGAAGGGAGCATATGATTGGTGGAAGCGCATTGACCAGGATCCACACACGCCCAAGCCTTGGACCTGGGATCGCTTTGATCGAGCCTTCACAAAGGAGTACGTCCCCACCGGGTACCGCGAGGAGAGGCGCGATCAGTTCGTTGCGCTTAAGCAGGAGGGGATGTCACTGCCTGAACTGAGACAGAAGTTCGACTACCTGTCCCAGTATGCGACGAGTCTGGTCTCCACTCCGGAGGATCGTTTGAATGAGTTCGTCAAGAAGCTACGGCCGGACTTGAGGCCGTTCGCCGCGCTGATCATGACGATAGATTTTAATGCGGCGTATGATTTGATTGTGAAGACGGAAAAGAGCTTGGACGATTTGCAGGCAACCAAGAAGGAGGATCGAGCGACGAAAGACCCGCGACCCGCGGCCAGCACCGGGCCGAGCGGGAAGAGTTTTGGATTCGGGGGAAAGAGGTACGAGAAGGGTTCTTCGAGTGCGCCGCCGCCTAAGAGGAGTAAGTCGA